TACTCCTTAAAGATGTAAATTAGCAACTGCTTCACGTAGACACTTTTATTAATATCTGAATAACGAATTCGAAAAAGTTTTTATTTGGGAAATAAAATAAACATTAGTATGAAATGTATTGTATATGAAATGGAAATATACATAAATAGAGATTATTATAATTATATTTAACTACACCAAGATGGGAAGATATAGACCGAAACTTCTGCAAATTTGGTTTCTCCTGCTTAAAAAAAAACAAAATTTACGCTAATTTGGGATATCAGATGAAAAATCCATCAAAATTTTAACATATTCTTGTCGAACTCGCTAATAATAACTACGCTAGTAAGCCCGAGGAACTGTCACCATCTGGCATTGATCCTTATTATGCAACGAACCAGTCGACATGATAATTCTCACGTTGCGCGTGGAAACTGTGACATAAGAAATATGGGAATTACGTGACGTCATGTGGCAGTTCGTCGACAACCAAATCTCTGTAATATAATTCCCACCACCCACTGAAATATTGCTTTATAAAAGGACTCAATAACATCACCATTTAAATCGCGTTACCCACGCGAAAATATTTCAGGTCCTGTTTTAATAATCGACTTCGTCACGCAAACGTCCGCTCGTAATACCGTCGTATAAAACCAAATGTGTTCCAATAACATTGAAAAGTAGAAACATTACTACAGCGGAATCACAATAAAAGCTCACATGGTATCCACTGTGAAAAATCCATTAACACTTATCCGGGCGTAAAATAAACCAAAGTAACTTAGGTACGTAATAAAACAATAATAAATTGTTCGCTGCGATTCCGTCTGATAATAATAAGATCTGTACTGTGCGCGTAATGTAGGAAAAGTCAAAGTTCATATTATTTTCATTTTATCGTATTCAAGAAGAGTAATAACGTGTCGAGCAAATAAATGTTTTGTTTATTAGTTATTTATCCAAAACCAATAACGTAAATCTAACTGCGTTCAATAAATATTCAATGTTTTTTAATGTTTAATACATAAGTTGAATTAAGTTCTATAAAATAGATTTTGGGAAATGGGCACAGTGCTGTAGTAGTGGTATTTACTGTTTGTAATTATAGTTAAAACTCCAGAAATACTTTAAAATTAAGTTTTTAAGATTTGCATAGTTTTGATTTATTAATAACCAATAATGGATAATGAAATATAATTTTTAAATTATATTATATTATTAATTATCGTCTGTTACATAAAGCGTTTTAACTGAATTAGCTTTTGAAATATAGTGGTTAGGTACGAATATGACGTTTCAAAATCACTTTCCATTCACAGTGTGAGGTAATGAGCTGGATGAAGGCGGTGGCTGTTATTCGCCAACCCGCCCTCACCAAGCCGTCGGCGGTTTCACAAACTTCTCCATTCGGTACTTGTCGCGTGAAATTTACGGGATAATTTTCAATAGGACTGGGGTTTTGAGATTCTGAAGGTTTTAAGTTCTATATAATGCGTGCCTCTCTCGTCTCTCATCATCTCATCTTCATTACAATAAATGAAATAGTAAGCAAAAATATTTTTGTTGCTATTTCTTGACTTGTAAAAAATAAATGAAGTTGAAAAATATGAAACTGAAAACGATGTTATTTAATAACGTTGGCTGTGATCACATGACTGAACGGTCATTAAAGCAATTATTGTTTATTACATAGACTCATATATGTGTTTAAAATAGATACTACAAATTTATGAAAAATATTCGATTACCTACATGGTAACGTTTTCGAAATTCCAAGATCTCGAAGATTAATTAATGCGAGATAACATTTTTTCATTATTTAATAATTTTATTACAAAATTGTACTTATATTCAAGTAACATAGACCTACCTACTACTCCTTCAAATGTACTCAAGCTCCATCATTCTCAGTTTTGCACATGATATTCCTAAACAATATCTAGTTGCCAAATATCAGGAATATTACGAATGCCTGAATTTATATACATAACAAATATATACATTCAGATACGCAACAGCATTTATATTTGAGTCACAAACAAGTACGCCTGTTATAAATCATCTCGAGAATTGTAATTAGCTTTTATAAATGTGGTGTAATTTGAAAGTGAATAAACGGCATCTACGTTACACATAATTTGATTATTGTAGTTTTACGGTCCTCAAAGTGCAAGTGTTTTGTTCGCTTAGTCCATTACGTGGCTACGCTTATAGCACGCTAGGAACCCCAGGGGAGACCAGTAACAGTCATAATAACTTCTATCGAATGGTCCATACAGTTGCTCTTACCGTTCACACAGTTCAACATTATCTAGTTCTATGCTAGTGCAGTTCCACTGTGGATACTACTTTATAACAAGTTGAAACTTAAAAGGACAGGTTTGGAATGGTAAACTGTGTATGTGATAAATAATGATTAAAATCACGTTTTCAATTATTTTGTTTTGTAAATGTGTACAAAACAGACGAAGGATGTAGTAAACTACCTACACAACAAAAAATCTTCTCGTAACTATAAATTGTTTACATTCTTGCTTATTATACATGTTTTCTACCTATATACAATATCAGAAAACAACGACATGAATTGAAAGTATCACTTCTTTAATTCAAGGAGGACCTCCTTGAATTAACTTAGTAATTTATGTCAAAGTTCTACTTTGACATAAATTACTAAGTTAATATACTGTATTATGAAAAAACGTCATGTATTGTTCAACCCACGATTCAAACAATCTCACAAGCTAATTATTAAAACGCATTAAGGTCACAAGTTGTTTTACGAGTAGGTCTACGTTTTGATCCATGAGGATATTGTTGGCTGATGTATACAGCCCTTTGTTCGCTAACTTGTAAAGTGACTGGCGCTTTTGCTTCGGCCCAGCGCGAAAACCTACCCGAAAGGGTACTCGTACCACTACAGGATCGTCATTTTCGTTTGTCATCAATCTATGTTAGGGTGGCTGACATGTTAGTGTTAATTAAGCAGGCCTCACTCGCGCGTAATTAAGAGTGTTACAGTGTTATTTTGGACATTAATTGAGATGAAATCTCTTGTTTTAATGAAACAAAAAGTTCGCAGATTTTTGCTCTGTAAGTAATCTCACTATTGCCACATGTGTCAAAAAACGGAGGAAACGTGTAGAGAAAACAGGACAAAGTTTCAATCGGAACCAGGATTACGAAAGGCGTTATCGTTTCTTTGCATACTAAGTGGATGCACGCTTAAATTAATAGTTCCTCAACAGTGATCATAAAAAAGTCTGCTTTGTTATAGTTACATATTATTTATTGGTTTTAATAAAAATGGCGGTTGAAAAGAGAGTTTAACACACGCAGTGCAATGTTTTCGAAACAAAGCTAGCAGCTTTATCATTTGCGGACAACAGACATTTGAGGCTTACCAAAAGCCAATGGCGCCAAACAACATACTCACATACCTCAATGTAAGGATTGTTTAGTGCTATCTCTTAAAGGGGTCTACAAGGAAATGTCTGCTATTTGGAACTTCTTGAAAAATATCGTTTCCCCTGTTGCGACATTTTGTGAGGGACAACTGGAATATTGTTTATCTTATCTATTAATATTTTAGTTTGCTGAAAGAAAATAGTTTCTGTATTTCATCATAATAAATACCGATCAATTATATCTTAAAATGATGTACATCAAACGTACATAATGTACTTATGCCGTTGTCGCTGTACGTAGACTAGTTAGCAAAATAATGAACATGGATTGTGGCTCTGCTGCGTAGCGTACTCCTTAGCACAGCCACTTAAAACATGTACTCAGGGCAGATAAAAGCTACTGTTTTTTTATGAAAACTGATGGACTACTCTGTATTCCGTACGTGTTCTAAAATATCGTTATTAAGATGTGGTTTTGATTATTCTCCCTTCGCTACAATTTTCATAAAAACCACCTTGTTTTTTTTTTGTTGGCAATACTTTTCTTTTTTACCATCAATATTTACTGTGTTATTAAGTGCACAAATCATATTAAAGTGAGAATAATCAAAACTACATCTTAATAATAATATTTTACACCACTGTGCCTGCAGTAAGGACTCGGTTTAGCACACACTGGCGGTTTTGCTCGAAGAAGAGAATCTGATGCGCCACCAGCAACCCATACGGCTGAGGCCATTGCCTCATGCCGCTCTGTAAGTGGCCGTGGATGGATGAGACGGCTTTCCTCTCCATCCACGTTTTATGTATAGGATTGATTAATGTGTATAAGATTATTACATATAAACTAAACAGTTTTTGGTTGCCTTTGCCAATTTGATATTTCATCAGAATTATTTTCTTTTCTCAATTCATTATTAAAGCTGTACTAAAACTATGTACTGTACTGTAGGTGTGCTTTAGTGTAAATTCTTAATTCTATTAAAATCTCTTTAATTAAGTTTGCATTCAATTATTTTTTACTTGTTAGTAAGTAGCCATCGTCTTTTGTTAACGTAGGTAAAACTTTTATTTTTTTTATTTTATGGTTTCAATTGCTTATGTTATAATTGAAATAACAAAAAACTATTATTAATAAAATTTATATACAAATACCTCACATAAAGAAAAAAAAACATGAATAATGTATACTAATTGTGGTAGAGCCATGATTTGGCACATAATGGCCAGGCTCGATCGGAGTGATAACCATGGCCTCACAGAATACCGGTGTTAAGCAGTTCTTTCACTGCTTTTCAACTAGTGAGGTTACCCCTAACTCACCCCCTCTTCCTAATTCTAGGGGGAGGGATTGAGAGGGCGGCAACGCATTGGTGAATAGAGTTGCAGGTGTTCATGGGTGGCGGTAGTCAATTACTTACAATTACTTGTTTGCCCCCTGTACAATATATTAATTAGCATATTAGTTTGAGTATATCATAGTTCAATATTTTACATAAGACTGTTAAAACTATGGTAATACCAAAGATTCCTAACATCTTTTCCATACATTATTAGGAACTAGGTAAGTTAAAAGTTTCTATCAATGACATGTCAGATTTCTTACAGATGAAATGGTAATATCGTCGAATAAATATGAAGTCGTGAACACCGTGATCAGTTCCTTTGAGAGCCGTATGATGCTGACGGTGCGACGACTGACAGCTGCTGATGTTGGCGGATACCGCTGTGTGGCCAAAAATTCTTTAGGAGAGGTCGATAGTGTCATCAGATTATATGGTAAGAAATGGTCATTAAAATATAAAACTAATTGTATGCTTAATTTTTCGTGCTGTAATTTTCGGATAGCGGCGTGGCGACCGCTTAAACCACCGGTTACCAACGGTTTAAGCGGTCGCCACGCCGTTTCCTATTTATTCTATTCCTATTTCCTACTATGCTGAGTGTTGTGAGTTCGATCCCCACATGGGACAACACTTTGTGTGATCCACAAATTGTCGTTCTGAGTCTGGGTGTTCTTTGTGTTCGTTTCATGTATGTTTGTAAAGTCCCTTGTAACACAGGATGTATTCCCAGTGCGGGCGTTATCTTTTCTAAGTTTTTTTTTTTTGAGATTTTCGATAATGAACAACGTTTCTGTTGTAAGTAAACTAGGTGTCAGATTACATAACTTTTGTTGGCCAAGCTAATATAGTTTTACAGTTCGTAATCCCTGCCTTTGAATAAAATTTAATTATACAGTAGTCATTGAATTTATTACGAAACTTTAAAAGTCTGATGCCGAAGATATCGGATAGTTTTAGTTTACTGGATCCTTGCCTCTTCAAGTAGTCTCATTAGCAATATTTTTAAGTATTAATTATTAAATTAAATATATAATATAAATATGGCTTAATATTGACTGCAAGGATGGCGTAGTGGTTAAAGCGGTCGCCACGCCGCTTTCTATTACGCCGAGTGTTGTGGGTTCAAACCCCACATGGACCAACACTTTGTGTGATCCACAAATTGTTGTTCTGAGTCTGGGTGTACTTTGTGTCCGTTTCATGTATGTTTGTAAAGTCCCCCGCGACACAGGATTTATTCCTAGTGCGGGAGTTGTCTTTTAAAAAAGAGAAAAATATATAAAAATTATTAATAATTAAATTAATATATTATAAGTAAGTGTTACGAGTATGCCTGTAAGCTTAAAATAAAATAAATAAACAATGTAAATTGTATATCGAACATTTTCATACATGTAAAGAATATTTGTCGAATGAATATCATTTTAAAAAGTCTCTGTGTGTCTAACGATCGTCGTCACTCGTCAGCATCAGGTTTGCATCCGGGATCTTTGTCACTAAACATAAATTTATTTAAAATAATTTTGTAAAGTAAGACATACAGATGGTATCCAGTACCAAAGCAGTAACTCTTCATGAACAACACTTCAAACTTTCCGAATGAGAGAAAAAAAGGGTATATCTTTTAAAAAGACTTTTCTCTCTGCCGCCTTTTTCTCTCTGGCCACCTTTGGGTGTACACGGAAGTTTTACAAAGTCTTTTAATTAGGAACTATGAGGAACGTATAAACAAATATATTTTTAGAATTAAAATATTCAATATAAAAATGCTGACTTAACCAATGTATTAATAATAATAATAATCATTTATTTCAGACCGTAGTGATGCAATCCATAGTGTTAGTGTATTAGTAACAATTTGCTTATAATTATTTTGAATTATTAGTATCTTTACATTAAATTAATTTGATATTATACCTATATGTGACTTTATCCAATGTTTTAGAATAGGGCAGTCGAACCTTGTAGCAATGACTTTCAGAATGCTGTTGTTGGCATTCCGTAGACGCTGCAAGATGGAAGCAATTTTTTTTCGAATTATCGCCTTGAACCCGTCAGTTTGCATTTGGGCAAACATTCTGGAGGCGCTAAAGCGTCACGGTAGCCCCAGCAACATTCTGAAACCATTGTTATACTAAAAACGTTGCACCGCCAACGCCCTGCGCTCTCTCTCTATGTCCTCGTCATCTCTGAGGTCATCGTAATACCACAAAAACCTTTTTGTTCTTTTCAAGAAATCAATAAACACATAAATTAACACCTATAAAGTCATGTTCGCGTTTCCTTAAATAGTTAAGTATATTATTAAAAACTAAATGTTTTATGATAAGGATGGTCTGATGATAGTTCAACTTATTTTACAGAGATTCCCAAACCAAGCGTAAAAAACACAAGTCCCGTCGACAAAAGAGAAGAGTACAAGTATTCCACACCAATAGAGGGACCTGACGATCAATTCGGGTCCGCCGACAGGTCGGATGATGAAGACGAACGAGAAACCGCCACAGATACGACAGATAGACATTTAAACGCATATAAACACGAAAACGTAACAAGAAACAGAGCAATCCATTATTCGACGACATCCGACCAGAAGCTCAGTAATAAAGTTCGTAAAATTATAAACAATTTTGAAATAAACGACTACAATAGCAACAGAGGTATTCGCAGCCCATATTCTGTAATTGTGATGTTTTTATTAATAATTATAGTTTTAGATTATACTTAAGTACAATATTATTATGTTAGTTGCAATATTATAAATGTAACTATGGATGTTTATCATAAATCATAATTAATCAATCTGTTTGATACCCATTCCAATGTAATTGTAAATTTAAATATTGTAAAAGTAAATGAGTATTTCGAAGGGAAGTGGATTGAAAATTGAAATTGATGGTAGAGTTTCATAGGTGTGAAGCCGATACACTGATAAAATCGAATATTTATAAACGCATAATTAATTATTCTACTTACTTTGATATTTCTCGGTAATTACCTCATTCGTTTAATAAGAGAATAATATATCAATGTAATATATAACCAATCAATAAATTATAATAAAAAAGAAAGTTCATGGCTAGGAGTTTATATTTTATACTACAATATTACCTATTATAACAATCAATACCCGGACAGTTGAAAATTCTAATTCAAGTGAGTTTTTAACTGCTTTGTCATGGTAACGTCGTGTGGTAACCAAAATTGAAGTGTTGGAGTTACTTAGAATTGAAATCTAAAAAATTATATTAATATATACTATCAGGTTCAATAAGCATCTGATCCCTTATTCAGATGTAAGCATCTCGAAACCTACTTTTATGGGTTATTATAGAAGTAAGATTTCAAAAATTAAGTTTTACCGAAACTTGAACTACTTGAAGTTGACTCCATTACTATAATCATAGTAAGAAATTAAATAATAAATTCATGTATTGTATCAATTTCAACCATGAACCATTCACGAAAACATCTATCCATTTCATTAGGACTGAAAAGAAATGTAATCTATCTACCGAAGTACCTAAAAGTGGACTGTATAATTATAATAATGAGTCCATTTGTTTAATAAAAATAATGTTATTACTATTATTTGACCAAATTGTTGTAATCGACTGTATAATATGAAAAATTAGTGGATTATACAATAATGTAGCCCAACTTTTTGTGATTTTTGTAACTGAATCGCTAGATAGAACATTACAATATAAATAAAATTATCATTCTAAACATATTGTTTTCATTGAAATCCAAGATGAATAATTTTTTTATGTAAAAAATATCATTTTTTTTTAACTTATACTCTCCCATCGCAAAAGAATAGGAATAAATCAGGTATAGTGATGCAAATAGTGCATAAGTGAGATATTGGATATTATGGACTCCTTTTGAAACTACAAAAACCTTAGTTTTGCAATATTTGCGTTTTTGTTTAAAATGAAATAAATTGCAGTGGAATATATTTTTTTTCATTTGAAGACAGGTAGTTACAATAAAAATGACAATGATGACTTGAATGACTTATTCGAACTTTCATTATATTCCGTTATTGTGATATACGATCAATTTACTTATCATCATTGAAGAAGAAAAAGTCTCCCATTGTAGTAACAAAAAAAAACAAAGCAATGTAATGAAATATTTCTCTTCAAACAGAACACAAAGAAATTTGACATTTAAAATAAATATCCAGAGTTGGAACCCTACAGCTAGTTTAATTAATTACTTAACATCCCGTTAAGTTGACTCCATAACACTCATCAATTATAATCACTTTACTACTGGCAGTACAAAAAGAATAGCTTTAGGGTGAGCTTAAGCCTACATTCGTAGTTAAATCGCAGTTTTATGTATAAACTAAGAGCGTGGCTCGAAGAGAAACCCTCAACAACAAAATAACAAGCAAGATAGTAATAAAAGTAGGAATTTATATCAAATTATTCCAAATATCGGTTTTAAATTCATAAGTAGAACACATGTAATAAGCTAAGCACATTTACGAGTCTGAAAAATAGATGCCAAGTCGAACAAGTCAAGTTGAGAAGCAGTCTGGTTGCGGTTTGTACCAAGTTTCATCTCCAATGTAGCGGATTACCGGTGCCTTCTTCATTATACAGTCGAACTTTGCCATTTTCTCGCCTGCCTACCTCCACATGCCCGTGTTTGTTGCTATGTATGCAAATCAAGCAGACTAAGTTCAGAAACAAATAAACTTTTTGGTACAGAAACGTTACGCTAATGCGATGCGGTTGTTTTGCTTTAATTTGTCGAAAAAAATGTTTTGATGATGTTTTTTGAGCGGCTTATGCTGTAATATTATGGGAATATGAATAAATTTGACGTTTCATCTTATATTATGTAAGTAGAAAAGTTAATAATCAAACATTTTTGAAGTTAGAGAATTAATGAAATTAACGATTTTTGGTGGCACACACATATTGTGCACGGTCCGTAGAACAATATATCACCCCTGTGCGCTTTTCAAGAAACCAAGAAACTTTTTGTCTCGCACAACTAATCTGTGGAATAAGTTATCGTCTGCGGTATTTCCGGCCCAATACGACACTCACACCTTTAAGAAAAGAGCGTACTCCTTTCTAAAAGACCGGCAACGCTTTTGTGAGTCCTCAGTTGCAGGCGTTCATGGGCGACGGTAATCACTTTCCATCGGTTGACCCGTCTGCTCGTCTACCCCTCTTACATAAAAACAGATGGACTGCCAGCCTAGTCTGCTAAATAAAAGTTGTTAAAAGATACACCTGCTAGACCACGAAAGATTAATTGACCTGTACTGCAGTGGAGAGTGGTCATGGATATAATATGGTATACAATATTTGACTTGCCTTTGCCTATTTTTGTAATGATTGCCTATTTTTAATTTTATTTATAAGTTCATGCCCTAATATGTTATACATATTTAATGATTCTTGAAGTTCTTTAATTTACGTGTGAAATCTTTAATTTTCTTTAACTTTAATAAATATAACATTGGAAAATATTTAATTACGGTATGTCGATAAAGCATTTTTAATATTTCTATGTTACTATACATAACTATATTATGTATAATCCAAGTTATACCTATTTAAAGTTATATGTAGGAACAGGCGTGTGGAACAGTTTGTACCCGCCAATCCATTGTACGGTTAATTAAAACTCGACTGAATTCCCGGTTGTAAATTTTACGTTTTTTACAGAACTTTTCGACAGAGCATCCAGTTTTATTTATTTATGAGCTTTGCCCAATGCGGACGGACGGCGCGCTTGACCAACAATATTTTCACATTAATGTTCAAGCTTTTCACAATACAGATTTAGGAACACAAACATTCCTCGGATAATCTTTGCCGGAGACGTCTTTTATAAAAATAGGTTTTACATTTAAATATTCACATGTATTTTTAAAGTCTCGTTATAATATTTTTGATGGCAGCATCATAAAAATATATTTTATTGTCAATTACTTTGTATTTAATCCAAACTAATTATATTAGAACTTATTTTTGAAATATCTTCAAAAGAACTATTGATTGACGCCTAAGGATATTTAGAGAAAATATTACGAAATGTAGAGAGATATAAACGGATAAATAGATGGAGAGACATCAGATCACAATTAAATCACTAACCGCAGCTATAAAGAGAACAGCCACAAGGCATGTGACCAAAAAATCATTGATTTCTACAACTTTTTAATTAATGGAAGGACATGATAAAAGGACCAAAAGATGATTTAAGAACATGATCATTTTTATCATTATTTAAGTACTTGAAGATAACAGCCAGCAATGTGCATTAGATTTTAATAATCTAGCCTTATTGAATTAGAATAGTTAGTGCGTTTCAATATAGCGTAATAAGTATTTTAAAACGATTCTAAACGTTATTCATGGATATCTGTCCTTAAAAAATGTAGGTCTTTAAATAATATTAAGGTAACATCGATACTATACACTATAATATATCCCTATAAGACAACAGTGGAACAGAGTAACGAGAAAATAATCAATCTTCCAAGTCCACTTCGAAGCAATCAACGGTCTATTATTGCGTCCGTCCAATCCGATAGAAGAGCCGATATATCAAAGACGTCTGCGGTTCAATTACTAACCAATATGCCATCTTTTAGATACAGTAAATGGAAAATGAAAAATAGTGCAGGCCTACGTCACTGCACTGGACGATGGTGTATGTCACCAACATCGGCAATGTTGTAGTATATTGATATCACGTCTTGAAGGCAGGTTGTCATACATATATTCACTTTTAGTATAATGAATTTCAAAATTATTCCTAAAAAGTTATACTTGAAACGTAATTCATCATCACCATCAACAGCCTGTAAAAGTCCACTGCTGGACATAGGCCTCTCCTTAGAAAGGATGTTTTACAGGTTTAGGTAGAACAGACGATAGTGTCAGAAATAAAACAGAAAATTTCTAGAAATGTACTGAGTGACGTGATCTATTCTTTATAATCTTTTAAAATATAAAATCTTTAAAAAAAATATACTATCCATATTAATATTCTAAATGCAAAAGTTTGTCTGTCTGTCTGTCTGTTATCTCTTCACGCTTAAACCGCTGAACCGATTCAGATGAAATTTGAAAGGACATAGGATAGTTTTTATTGTTTATGTTAAGGGGGTGAAAAGTTTGTATGTGGGATTAATAACCGCCTAACCGATTTAGATGAAATTTGGTAAAGAGATATATTAATTCTTGAGAAAAGACAAGGGATGATTTTTAATGCGATAACCAAACCGCTGGAAAATCCGCGGGCAAAAGCTAGTGTACAATAATTATTAGAAACACCAATTTCACGGGATATTGTGTTGTTACATTTACAACTATACGGATATACAAGTATAAACGAAATATATCATTAAGCTTACATATAATAACTAGCCTTTGCCCGTAGTTTCACCTGCATTTATGGTACTACTGCTCGGCTCCTAGAAGTCATTTTGAATACTCTGTTCAATACAAAAAGATTTTATACAAATTTCATGTAATATGTACAGCACAAGCTAGCCGGTATGTTCAAAATAAGTAGAAAATCAAATGATGTAAAAATCTAATTAATTATCGTGCCACCCAGGAGATAGAAAAGTACTTATATGTATTTTTCAATATTATGACTCCCCTTTTGGTGTATAAAAGTTATTTGTCACCAATTTAATAAAATTATATTCTGTTTATTGAAAATACAATTCTCAGAAGTTCTCTC